ATTTTAGCATTTTAAAGCATGCTGTCAGCAGGGATGATAGTATCTTATGACTCTGAATGAACAGAAAGTCTTAAAAATTTCACAGATAAGGACAACTTAAGGGATCTTTGCTACTCCCCCCCAAGACCAAGTTAGTATTATTATCCATTTTAAACTAAATATACCCAATTGAGTGTTTAACAGTTTCCAAAGATTGTAACCACCTTCTTTAACAGCTCTGTTCAGAATCTAATGTGGTCAGACCAAGCAATTGCAACACTTTCTGGATATCATTTTTTAAAGTCAACAGCATTTTTTATATAATGGTTTCCCAAATTTCACAATATGTGAAAAATCAGAAGCCTAACAATAACATAAATAGTATTATGGATTTTAAAAATATAACACAAAACTTTTTTCCAGTCAAATAATATAAATTCTTTTGAATGTAGTTCAAAGCTTCTTATATAGAAAATCACCATTTATCAATTTGGCATTCTATATCAATCATATTCAAAACACATCAAAAAGTACTTATATTTAATAAAATAATGGGTAACATTTATACAGTTATTAGCATGTGTCAGGCACTGTGCTAAGCACTTTACAGTTATTATGTCATTTGATTCTCACAACAACCTTGAGAGGTGGGTGCTATTATTATCCCATTTAACAGATGAGGAAACTGAGGCAAACAGAAGTGAAGTGATTTGTTTGACCTCACCCAGCTAATAAATTTCTGAGACCATATTTCAAACAGATTTTCCTGATCCATGCATTTTCCAAGTATGTTGTCTTAATGCCAAACATCAAAAGTATTTTTCATTAAATTCTAATTTATCACCATAATCCTAATAGGAGAACACATCCCACTGTGAGGCTACATTATAATTTAGTTTCAGGACAAATTTCAACCAAGTCAAGTCTAGATTTACAATTACAAATGGTAACATTCAAAATCTCAATTTTCCGAAGGGCCATAAACTCAAATTTTAAAGCCCATTGCTTTCAGTGAGCTCACTTTCAAAGATATGTGGTGGCAGGCTCACATTTTATCCCCATCTTTTGGAGTCCATGGGACTCTAAGGATTAAGACATAACCCTTTCAATGATCCTTCAAGGACAGAGTTTTTTGTATGCTATACTCAAATAATTTCATGCTATAAATCTATTTCTATGGTTTCCATTTGTTAAATGTTATAACTTGATAGAATATTGTCTGTCTGAGAAGGCTAACAGGTATTTCCCTAAAATTCTTTTTAATGCCATACATTTCTGCAATCCAGGAAAAAAGATTTCCATCCTTTTCTTGTCAGGCTTTATTTCTGCAATCTCCAACCTGTCCAGGGTTGTGAAGGCAGAAAGAAAGAAAGAAAGAAAGAAGGAAGGAAAGAAAGAAAGAAAGAAAGAAAGAAAGAAAGAAAGAAAGAAAGAATCTTGCAGTTTTCCTCCTTATCTCTCACTGAACAACTAATCAAAAAGTGAGTGGGAACAAGTTCCTGTTTAATATTACTGACAGCTGAGAGTTGTTTGGAGACTTAATTAGTCTTCACCACTCTTCTAAACTTCCTTTCTGTGCTGTCTCACTGAAGTTTTTTTTATAGGTGATGAAGTGTTCCCCTGCAAAGTTCTCCAAGGTAAAAAGACCTTTTCCATGCTTCAGTACTTCTGAAGTGGAAACCTCCTATCTCACTGCCTGCATTCCTCTTTTCCTGGGGGCCCACCAAGATCTTTACTTCCTTCTTCTCTGATCATTCCCTACAAAAGTGGTTTCTTAAGAATACTATGGTCTTTGTTTTTTTGAGAAATCTGGATTGCATGACCACATTAATGAGGGGCAGTCTCGGCTTGAAAGTTCATTCCCACAGCACCAGTAAACCATTTTTCTTAGGCTTTTCAATGTTGGTTTTTAGAATGTGCAGCTGCCAATAATCAAAAGTTTTGTATTTATCTGGCCAAATTTGCTTCCCTCAGTTATCTAGGTACTGAGTCCAGTCACCTGTTTTCAACATTCTTGATTGAATGAGCAGTATTCCACTATCCCAAGTTTTTAAGGGTTTTCCTAAGTAAGAGTCAACAAAAAGTTTACCCTGTCCCAATCTGATTTTAATATTATTATCACCTCGTGTTGTGGCAACTTAAAGTTGGGGAAAGCCATTTACTCACTACTACCCTGTTTCCATGCATTTGCATTTCCTTTTCTTCATGCACAGACGAGTAAAAAATCAGTTTTTGGTTCTGTACCTATTTCTCCTTATAATTTTTTAGTTTGGGGAGTGTACTTCTCCAACTACTTCATGGCTGACTAATTTTCAGGAGAGTCCATTCTGGCCTGTGCTTGGTCAAAGGTCCAAGTACCAGCTGTGCAATCAAAATATTGACATTTAGTGAAATCAAAATGAACTTAGTGATAGTCACACTAGTGAATGGCACTTTCTGGCTGGTTCACTAAGTTGTTAAAAGGAAATCTCCACTGAGGCCTCACCCTGATTAATAGGGCAAACTCAGGGAAAAAGATAAAAAGAGTTCATTGTAGCACACCAAGGCAGCAGTGTTGGGCATAGCTTGGGCCTGAATTCAAACTGCTTTTTTTCTGTGAAATATCAAGCAAGGTTGCCAGCTATGAGAGTCATGGAAGATTTGATAAGGGACAAAAATGTTTGGAAAATGCTGTGGTGAGTGGCATAGTGAGTTACTTAGGGAAGTTTGAAAGGGCCACAGTGAAGGCCCAATTGAGGTCATGTAACAAATTTATAGTGGACCAAATCAGCATGGTTTACAATTTGTTTCTCCAGTCTTGTTCAGCGGCGTGTGGTTAGGAGTGAGGTAGTATACAGTTGTAGTAATCCAAGCAGGATTAGCAGTCTCAGAAGAAAAATAGGATATGGGAAAAGGGACTAAAGAGAACAGAAGTAAAGTTGAATTTGTTTACCAAAGAGTTAAGTGCAGAAAGGAGGAGAGTATTGCCTGTTCAAGGATGATGGCTTGAAAGAGAACTGAGGGATAGAGTGATTGGAGGTCACCATGAGAATTAAGAATAGAGTTTGGAGTTTCAAGACAAAAAAAGAGATGTAGAATGAAAACAGATTGTGGTCAGATAAGGAGATTTCAGATTTAATGAACATGGAAGTGGTGTATTTGTGGATGATGGCAAGATCAAAGTTATGTCCACCTCTGTGTAGCTGAGATAGAGTGGAGGAGGAGGTCATGTGAAATAGGTAAACTAAGGAATTGTAAGATTAGGGTATTTGAAGGAGTATCAATCTCTCTCTCTCTCTCTGTTGAAGTTTCTTAGTATAAGAGCAGGATTTGTAGAAGAAAGACTGAGATAGGCACTGAACTGATTGATGAAAGATTGATCTGGAAAGTGGTAAATAACAGCTACCAGAATTTTGATTGGGTGGGAGTTACTGAGTGATGGGAGTAGAGGAAGAGTCTAGAAGTGGCAGTGGAGGCAAAAGTATACCAACTCTCCCATCTTGACCATTGAGTCTGGGTAAGAGGGAGAAATGAGTGAAAATGTGACAAGTGATGGAAAGGGTGGCCAAAGAGGCTGTGTCATCAAAAGGGAGCAAGGTCTCAGTGAGAGTCAAATGATGAAAAGAATAGGAAAGCAAAAGATTTAAGATGAAAACAAGCTTGTTGCCCATGGATCAGTCATTCCAGGGAGCACAGAGGAAGAGGTGACTAGCCTTAAGTGGGACATGGGGATTGTGGGGTTTGGATAAGGGAAATGGAATAAGTCATTAGGCATTGGGAGAAGAAAATGAGGTTTGAATGATGAAAGCTAGGGATTCACAATCACTGGAATGGGGAGGATATGAAAAGTGGGAGCTTATTAATTATTGAGGAATGAGGTCAGGCAAGTTGTCACTATCTCTAGGAGTTTAGCCTCAGGGTAGAGTCCTCTCAAGGCCTTGGGCAGATCAGGTGAAGAGACCAGTTTGGGGAGCTGAAGAAATAGTGTTTCTTTACTTCCCCTGAAGGAAAGAGACCCATTAAGAGACCTGGCAGCTGATGGGATGACCTTTCTCTCTTTTCCCCAAAGACTATCTACTAATGTGTGCCCTAGGATGATTCTCCCTTCTCTCTGAGCCTGTTTCCTTGTCTGGAAAATGAGTAAGCTGACTTAGATGACGTCTAAGATCCTTTGTAGCTTTGGATCTTGAAAGCTTATGCAGGAAGGGCACATAAATCTGGCTCCTTATCCCCACCCTGAAGTCCTCTTTCTTCAATCCCATTTTTGAGACTCACCTTCTCACCACTAGTTTCCTGCCCCAGGTCACTCAACCATGTTACTGGCTGAATGCTTAGAGAATTAATGCTGGCTAGAGTTGTATTTGGGGCTTACCTGGCAATTTATCTTTTTCTCAATTCCATATCTTAGTTTATTTTGACAAAAGTTGTGCCAGATGAGCAGAATGGATGGATGGTAATCTGTAACATTGAAGAGAATGTCCATAACATTGAGTGCATAGATCCATTTGTGTGTTAAGGGATGGCTGGATTAAGAGTTGGGAATTTGTGGGGATTCTGCTTCTGACCTCGTTCAGATCCTTGGATGCATCAATGTCTGATTCATCCTGGGGTTGATCTGACTAAAATGATGTCCGCAAACCAGCTTCCTTATTCCTAACTACCCATCCTGATCCCTCCTCATTGCTATCTATAGAAGTGAAGAGTAGTGATAAGAACAGCTCGGGAAGGCAAATTTGGCCTCAATATAGGAATGAATTTGTTAACTTCAGAGCTACCTAACAGTAGAATGGGCTATCAATGTAGGAGGTGAGCGCCCCATCTTTGTTGTTCAAGAAGAAATTGAAAGGCAACTTGTTGGGGTTGTTGGAGAGGACCCTCATCCACTCAAGGGGGACTTCATCTGGATGCCCAACAAGGTCTCTCCCAGTTCTGAGATTCTAGGATTTTTGTGTCCAGGACAATCACGGAGGAAATAGGAAGAGTGATAAAAATGAACACTAAATGGGGAATGAACTGGAAATGAAGGAGTTCAGGGACTCAGAAACAGTAAGCCCTGCATTATTCATGTTTTATTGTTCTCTTCCTGAGTCTGGTGAAGCCCAGGTTTCACACATCCATTTCTAATGTGAATGGGCTTCTCTGTTCCCTGGGATCTGCCGGCAATGACTCCCTGCTGGAATGGAAAGACAGGACTAAGGCTAGTCAGCCCACTCCAGGCCCAGACCTGCAAGCCTAAGATACTTTCATTGGTTCAGGGGGCAACCATCTCCTTCCAGATCTCTTTAGGCATGGGGGGTAGCCCCTGGGGGACTCTTCTAATGGGTCTTCCTGCTCCCTCTTCATCCCCCTCCTCCTCCCCCTCACTCTCTTCTTCTAAGAGATGGGGACAGATCTCAATAGCGAAGTCCAAGGACAACGGTTCAAGGGGAAAGGTTATTCAAAAGAAGATCACTAAATTCACTATAAAATCCTCAACAGAGATATTCCATCCTTCCTCCCCTAACCTTGAGGTCCAGTAAAGGTGGGGTCAGAGAGATAGACAGAGAGACAGAAGTGAAGGGCCCCTGTCCAGCACAGGACTTGTTCTAAGGAGTCTATGTTCAATCAGAATCTGAGACATTTCCCAGGGTGACTTGTTCTTCAGGCAGTCAGGAGACCAGTCCTCCAGGTATCTTCATTGAGCTGGTCTAGGTTATGCCCCTGGGACAGGCTCAGTGATAAACTGGCCAGTTCTTCAGACTCCCCCGGACCCGAATGTCTGCGACATTATTGGGATGAAGTCTCCCATTGCTCTGCTCTATCACTGTCAACTGCTCATCACTCGAGTCTTCCTCCTCTATGTCACTCCTTATATCATTCTTCACCTGAAAACCAGAGAGACAATCAATTAATAAGCATCCATTGAACCCCTACCATGCACTCATCACTGTGCAAAGCAATGGAGAAACCAAGGCAAAAATACAACAGTTCCTGACCTCAGAAAACTTTCATTCTATCAGGAGAACTAGCCTGCACTTATAAAATTATGTACAAAATATATGCAAAGTAAATGGACAAGGACATTTTAGAATGAGTGGAAATAGAAAATAAGAGTGGGAAAGAAATCAAGAAATGATTAATTTAGGTGATGCTTGAGTTGAGTCTTAGAAGAAATAAGGAATTTTAAGAACTGGATGTGAGGGGACATTATATTTCAGGCATGAGAGGATAACATGTACAAAGACAAAGAGATGAAGATAGAGTGTCCTGGGTGAGGGACAGCAAGAAGGACAGTTTGGCCAGACAGAATGATGAAGGAACCTTTGTAAGCAATGAATAGACAGGAAAAGAGACTATGGCCAAGTGGTACAAGGTTTTAAATGACTAACAAGAGTCTATACTTTCCTTTGGTGGTAATAGGGAGCTATTGGGATGGCCACTGTTACCTTGTCATCCATCCTGCCTGCTCCTTCGCCCTCTGGAGCACTAAACCCTGCATTTGCCCTGGCACTGTATAAAATCTAAAACCCCCTTTCCCTCATTTCTAACTTTGGAACATGCATCAACATTCTATTGCTCCAAGAAAGGGCATATTGATCATGACTCCATTCACAACCCCAATGATTTCCCAAATGAGATAATGCTTGTAAAGTGCTTTGCAATTTTAAATCACTACATAAATGCTAGCTATTATTCTCAAACCAAAATATCCTTCTCTGGCAACCACCTTCTATGTGTTATCTCCCCTTCCTTACAGAAAGGAACATTCTTAATTTTGTATCAGTATTCTTGGAGTTTAGCATAACAGTAAGACTTTTAATAACTTTTTTTTCATTTATTCATTCACATTCATTCATTCACGTTTATTCATTTTTCATTTATTCATTCATTCATTTATTCTTTACTTGATGAATTTATCACCCAATCTAGGTCTTTGAGACAAAAAGCCTTCAATGAGTTCAGTATCTAGCTCACAATGTTTCTCTCCCCTAAACTTTTACCTCCAAACTTTCCAACTCAACTACTCAATTCTTATGACCTACTCCTCCTCTCCACCCCAGGCACACATAAAAACGGTCATACCCTTGATCTTGCCATCACCCACAAATATTCCACTTCCATGTACATAAACCCTGAGTTTCTCATAATCTTTTATCATTCCATCTTTCCCTCTGCTTTACAACCCCCAAACTTGTTCTTCTTCACTGTGACCTCCAATTCCCCTCACCCCTTAGTTACTTATCAGGTCATCCTTGCACTGGCTACACTCGCCTTTCTTTCCTATTTTGACTCCTTGGTCATCAATCAGTCCAACTGGATGGTATCCTTTCCATTTGAATCTCTTGCCTCATTGTCCTATTAACTATTACACTTTGCCAAACCTTAACCTGGGATTACTCCCACCACCTATCTCCTTTGTTCCTATTCACATGCTACTGAATGGAGGTTGAGAAAATCACAAGACCATAATAATTGAGATCCCCCACAAATTTATGTTATACATGCTCAACTGAGCTCTTCCTGAACCAAGGGAATCCTTTTATACTTTTCTAATTGATTTGTTAGACCACTCACCACAATGGAAATTCCAAACCTTTGAATCCATCCTCAAGACTCCCACAGTACTGTTCACTCTACTGTCTCAGCTGAGGACCTCACCTGCTACTCCAGTGAAACAATTGAGACCATTCAATGAGAGTTCCCTCATCTCCCCTCCTCATCTTCTCACATCACTGAGGCATCTTCTCCCACTATCTCTTCATCCACCATTCTCTCACATAAAAATGGTGGTCTTTCTCCTTGTCAAGGCAAACTCCTTGATATACATACACTCTTGATCCCTTCCTTTCTCATCTTCTTCAATATACTGTTCTCTCTATCTTATCTTTTCTTTCTGGTCTAACCTGTGTTTTGGGAAAACTACTTTTAAGCTGTATGAAGGATGAATTAGATAGTTCAGGTGAAAGGAAGTGAGGTCCTGGACCAGGATGATAGGTATATGAATAGAGAAGAAGGGATTAAAAGGATGAGATAGTCTAGAGGTAGAAGTGACAATATTTGGCACCTGATTGAATATGCAGGATGAGACAGAGTGGAAAAGAAGAATGGACACAGTTGGAGTGGAAGAAATAAGAGAGAGACAGAGAGAAAAAAGGAAGGAGAAGAGAAGGAAGGAGAAGAGAAGGGAGATAAGAGAAAATGGGAGGGGAGGAGAAAGGGAAGGGAGGAGAAAGAGAGGAAGAGGAGAGAAAAAGAAAGAGACAGAGAGAGAGAGATAGAGGATACAAGAAGAAAAGTAGAGAAATGAGAAAAGAGATTGGGAAAGACGAAGTGAAAGACAAGGATCCTGGGTAGTAAGATGCCTTGCAGAACTACTTGGGTGCCTATTGGCACTAGGATGCCAGGCCTGAACTTCCATGCTCTCTTCCATCTTTGATACCCTTCTGCTTTTCCCTCCTTCTCTTCCTGATGGTCATGGATTGGGGGAAGGGTGGGTAGGCCAGGGCAAGGTTTGCACCTACCTGACCCTCTGATAAAAACCTGTAGAACATTCGGAGGATGAGGAAAAACCAGAAGACATTGAGACCCTGCAGGATCATCAAGAGGGCATTGGCAAAATAGTAACCAAAGAAGACCTGATAGTTGGTCAAGAAAGTATAGGAAGTGGTGTAGAGGACTCTGTAAGAGAGAGAGGAAATGAGGGTTACAATGTGGGAAGGGGGAGGAGGCAAGCTACCAGGATTCAGACATGTTGGTCACCAGAAACAACCCACCTACCCCCAAAGAAATGGGATGGACAGAGTGAGAAGCCACTGGGATGGGGGAAAAACATCCCAAAAGGCCCCTGGCTTGACCTTATCCCATCTTTTTCACACATAGAAGGACTTGTCAAGCAAGAGACTCACTCCTCTTTCTAGGAGGCAGGTCTTGGCACCAGAAGGTCCCCAGGACTCAGACCCTTTTCCTCCTCCCTGCCCTTAACCCACCCCACCTCTAAGGACCAGGCTTACTTGATTGGGAAGAGAATGAGTCTGCTAACAAAGAACACCAGGGCAAAAAGGATGAACATTATGTCCCGAGCTTGACTCCACTGTGCGTAAATTAACATCTTACAAGCCTGGAAGGAGATGACAGAGGGAATTTTGGTAATGCATAATCCCAGAATTGGGAGGGGCCTGAGATGGTACTTAGTACAACATACACTTGTTGAAGGGTCCCCCTAGAGAAGTAATCATTTCACCTGAAGGCCTACAATGATGGGGAACTCACTACATCTCACAAACAATCCATTCTACTTTCAGAGTGCTCTGAATCTTAGGGAGTTTTTCCTTATATGCAGCCTTAAGATGTCCTTGGAAAGTGGGCCAAGTTTCGGGGCATTAACCAGTGAAAAAGAGCCCTACCCTAGCTTTTTAATTTTGAGTAGGATAGACCCAGTCACAGAATAAACACACATGCCTGGGTTGTGACACTCAGTGTAGATCTAAACTCCTCTCTGGAACTTCTCCATTTCCTGGAAGGCACCACACCCCTGGGCACTCTGATTTGAAACTTCACCATTGTCCTTGACTCCTCATTTTTGCTACAACTCCCCACACACATATTCAAGCAGTTGCAACAGCATTTCTCATCTACATCCTCTTATCTCCAGTTACACAGACATCAGAATTTGGGTTAGTTCCTCTTGCCTGGATTACTGTAAATAGTCTCCTAATTGGACTCCCTGCCTCAAGTCTCTCCCCATTCTAGTTCCTTTTCCACTCAGCTGCCAAAGTAATCTTACTAAAGTACAGGTCTGACCATATCACTCCCTTACTTAAAAAACTCCAGTGGCTTCGTATCAACTCCAGGATCAAATATAAATCCTGTGTTTGGCGTTCAAAGCACTTCATGACCTAGCCCCAACTTGCCCTTCTAACCTTATTACTCACCTTCCTGCACTCTACTATCTAACCAAGCTGTCTTATTTTCTGTTCCTCAAACTCATACAAAAACACAATTAAAATGTACAAAAAATAATAGTAGCTAGCATGTATATAGTACTTTCCAAATATAATTTCATTTTAATTTATGATATCATTAATCACCCTGGGAAGTCAGTGCTGTTGTTATCCCCATTTTGCAGGTGAAGAAACTGAGGCAGACAGAAGTTAAGTGACTTGCCCAGGGCCACACAATTAGTGTCTGAGGCAGGATTTGACCTAGATCTTCCTGACTCCAGATTGAATATAATAGCCACCGGGCCATCTAACTTAAGGTATGAAGCCATCATAAATCAAGTACTCTTTGCAATTTTGAAATCATAAACAATTCATTTTTGTTTGTTATTTTTGCATTAACACTACTTTGTTCATTGACAGTTATGACTTCCTGTTATATTTTTGATCTTTTAATAAAGCATTATCTTAAAAAAAAAGAAAAGAAACTTGCTTGACTAGCTACAGTGATCTAATTAACCAATTAATTACTGGATAGGGACAGGGATAGGGCCCAGATTTGTGATTTCACTGATCTAGGGAACTCTAGGAAGAGGAAATAGGCCCTCTCAATTCGGGTTGGCATCTTTGCCTAGAGAAGTGGTGTCAAACTCAAACAAGACAACAAAAGTCACTAAACCTGACATCAGGATTCCTCAGCGGCATATTGACTTAGAAAACCACATATTAACATTGTCTGTCTTCTACTGTATTTTTAGTTACTTTGTTAAATATTTCTCAGTTACATTTAATCTGGTTCCCACTGCACTGTGGAGTGTTACTCACTGCCACTTCTGGTTTAGAGCACTGAAAGATTCAGAGACTTGCCTAGGATCACAGAGCCAGTATATGTCAGAGATGAGACTTTAACCCAGGCCAATCTAGATTTCAGTTTAAGTCTTTCTTACTAATAAACAAGGCATATACAGAATTTAAAAAAAATGAAGCATACTCAGTCACATTGCTCTCAAGAGAATCTTTTTGTACATTGCTAAATAATTTTAAAATTTTTATTTCATTTTTCTCTTCTTTTCAAAATTTATATTTGTGCATTTTGCTATGTATTTGAGTGCAAAGGGACATGAAAATAATTTATAAATAAACACACACATGGAGGAGATGCAAGCTCAAAAAATGTTTTACCGAGAAGGATGTGAACTCACAAGAGCTTGGTGACTTCTGTGCTAGATGTTATCAAATTTGTCAATTCCTAAAATTCCTGTCTGACTACTGACAGTTCTCTGTAGAAAAGTATCTTTTTCCCTTCAGGGGAAAGGGGGTAGCACCAGCAGGTGGGGGCTAGGCACAGTCTCCTACATAAGGTGGTACTTGAACTAAATTTTGAAGGAAGCCAGGGATTCTGTGAGGCAGAGGTGAGGAGGGATGGCTCATTCCAAGTCAGAGAGACTGCCGAGGCAAAAGTAAAGAGGCAGGAAACGAGTGTTGAGTGTGAGGAACACCAATAGACCACCATGGCTGGACCATACAATTCGTGATGGGAAATACAGTTTAATTAGACTGGAAAAATGGGAAGAGGCCAAGTTCTGAAGATCTTTAACTGCCAAATAAAGGTATTCTCAAATAAAGGTATAATGTTTAATCATTAGGGATGGCATCTAGGTGGCACAGTGGATAGAGTGCCAGGCCCTGGAGTTGGGAAAACTCTTCTTGAGTTAAAATCTGACCTCAGAAAATTACTAGCTGTGTGACCCTGGGCAAGTCACTTAACTCTGTTTGCCTCAGTTTCCTCATCTGTAAAATGAGCTGGAAAAGGAAATGCCAAACTACTCCAGCATCTGCCAAGAAAACCCCAAATAGGGTCACAAAGAATCACATATGACTGATAAATGACTAAACAACAACAACAAAAAAGAAAGGTAATAGAGAATCACTGGAGTTTGCTGAATAGTGGGAGTGATATAATTAGAATTACACTTTAGGAAAATCACTTACACAGCTTAGTGGAAGATGGATTGGAATGGGGAGAGATAAGTCGGGGAGACCATTTAAAAATTTTATTATTTATTTAAATATTCATTAATTTTTTTAAGTTCTGAATTCTCTCCCTCCCTCCCATCAGTCCCCCACTTATTGTGAAGTCAAGAAACATGATATTGATTATATCATGCAAATTATGTTTATAATCATGTAAAACATGCTTCCATGTTAGCCATATTGCAAAAAACCCCCAAGAACAATAAAGAAATTAAAAAAAAATATGTTTCAATATGCATTCAGACTCCATCAGTTCTTTCTCTGAGGGTGGATAGTATTTTTAATCATAAATCCTTCAGAACTGTCTTGGATCATTGTATTGATCAGAATAACTGTCATTCACAGTTGATCTTCCTTACAATATGACTGTTACTGTGTACCATGTCCTCTTGGTTCTGTTCACCTCACTTTGCATCAATTCATGTAAGCTTTTCTGAAACCATCCTGTTCATCATTTCTTATAGCACAATATTCCATCACAATCATATACCACAACTGTTCAGCCATTCCCCAATTGATGAGAAGTCCCTCAATTTCCAATTCTTTGCCACCACAAAAAGAGCTGCTATAAATATTTTTATACATATAGATTGCTTTCCTTTTTCTTTGATCTCTTTGGGATATAGAACTAGTAGTGGTATTGCTGGATCACAATTTTATAGCTCTCTGGGAATAATTCCAAACTGTTTTCCAGAATAGCTGGATCAGTTCACAACTCTACCAACAATGCATTAGTGCCCCAATTTTTCCATATTCCTTCTGATATTTGTTATTTTCCTTTTCTGTTATATTAGCCAATCTGATGTATGTGAGGTGGTATCTCAGAGATGTTTTGATTTGCACTTCTCTAATAAATAGTGATGAAGAGCATTCTTTCATATGATTATAGATTACTTCAATTTCTTCTTTTAAAAACTACCTCTTCATAGCCTTTGCCCATTTATCAGTTGAGGAATGACTTGTGTTTTTATAAATTTGACTCAGTTCTCTACATATTTGAGAAATGAGGCCTTAGTCAGAGAAACTTTCTGTAAATCCGCCATGCCTCCAGCTTCCTGCTTTCCTGATAATTTCAGTTGTATTTGTTTTATTTGCCAACTTAAAAAAAAGTACTCAAAATTATCCATTTTACAGCATCTTCTTGTTTGGTCATAAATTCTTTCCTTATCCATAGATCTGACAGGTAAAATTTTCCATGCTCCTCTAATTTTCTTAGGAGATCAGCCTTTCTCTCTAAATCATGTAGCTATTTTGACTTTATGTTGGTATATGGTGTGAGACGTTGGTCTATACCTAGTTTCTGCCAAACTGCTTTCCATTTTTCCCCAGCAATTTTTTTGTCAAATAGTGAGTTCCAGTTCTAAAAGCTTGAATCTTTATATTTATCAAACACTAGATTACTATGGTTATTTGCTACTATGTACGGTGTACCCACTTTATTCCACTATTCTACCACTCTATTTCTGAGCCAGTACCAGATTGTTTTGATGATTACCACTTTGTAATACAGTTTGAGATCTGGTACTGCTAGACCAACCCCCTTCACATTCTGCCCCCTCCCCTTGATTCCCTTGATATTCTTGACCTTTTATTCTTCTAGATGAATTTTATTATTTTTTCAAAATCTATAAAATAAATTTTAGTAGTTTGATTGGTATGACACTAAATAAGTAAATTAATTTAGGTAAAAATGTCATTTTTATTATATTGGCTCAGCCCATCAAATGATATTTCTCCAGTTGTTTAGATCTGTCTTTATCTGAAAAATGTTTTGCAATTTTATTCATATAGTTCCCAGGTTTGTCCCCAAATATTTTATATTATCGATGGTTATTTTAGATGGAATTTGTCTTTTTATCTCTTCCTGCTGGACTTTATTGGCAATATATAGAAATACTGATGATTAATAAGGATTTATTTTATATCCCACAACTTTTCTAACGTTGTTAATTATTTCAACTAGTCTTTTAGTTGATTCTCTAGAATTCTCCAGGTATGCCATTACATCATCTGCAAAGATAGATAGTTTTGTTTCCTCATTGTCTATTCTAATTCCTTCAATTCTTCTCTTATTGCTTTAGCTAACATTTCTAGTATGATATTGAATAATAGTGGTGATAATGGGCATTATTGTTTCACCTCTGATCTTACTGGGAAGGCTTCTAGCTTATCCCCATTACAGATAATGCTTGCTGATGGCTTTAGATGTCATTTTGAGGAAAGCTCTATTTATTCATATACTTTCTTGTGTTTGTGAGAGGAATGAGTGTTGTATTTTATCAAAAGTTTTTTTTCTGCATCTATTCAGATAATTTTATGATTTTTCTTGGTTTTGGTATTGATATGGTCAATTTTACTGATAGTTTTCAAAATTTTGAACCAGCACTGCATTTCTGGTATAAATCCCACAAAGTCATAATGTATGACCTTTGTGACATTTTACTGTAATCTCCTTGTTAGCATTTTATTTAAAATTTTTGCAACAGTATTCATTAAGGAAATTGGGAAATAGTTTTCTTTCTCTGTTTTTGCTCTTCCTGATTTAACTGTAATTGTGCCATAAAAGAAACTGGGAAAGAATCCTTCTTTGCCTATTTTTCCAAATAATTCACACAGTAATGGAATTGTTTTTCAAATGTTTCATAGAATTCATTTGCAAATTCATTGGGTCCTGGGGATTTTTTCTTAGGGATCTCATTGATGACTTGTTCAATTTCTTTTTCTAAGATAGGATTATTTAAGTATTCTATTTCCTCTTCTGTTAATCTGAGCAATTGAAAATTTTGCAAATACTCCTTTTCACTTATGTCAGATTTATTGAAAATTGGGAAAAATAGCTCCCAGTAATTGCTTTAATTTCATCTTCATTGTTGAAGTCACCTTTTTCATTTTTGATATTAGTAATTTATCTATTTTATTGTGTGGGTTTTTCCCCCATAAAACCAACTCCTAGTTTTATTTATTAGTTCAATGGGTTTTTTTTAAACTTTCAATTTTCTTAATCTCTCCTTTGATTTTAGAATTTCAAAGTTAGTGTTTAATTGGGGATTTTAAATTTGTTTTTCTAGTTTTTTTAATTGCATGCTTAATTTATTGATCTGTTCTTTCTCTATTTTATTGATGTAAGCATGTAGAGACACAAAATTTCTCTTAAGTACTATTTTGGCTACATCCCGTAAATTTTGGTGTATTGTCCCAATATTGTCATTTTTTTAAATGAAATTATTGATTGTTTCTATGATTTGTCCTTTAATCCACTTATTCTTTAGGAGTAGTTTACTTAGTTTCCAATTAATTTTCAGTCTGTTTCCATGGCATTTATTGAATGTAATTTTTATTGTATAATTATCTGAAAAGAATGCATTTAATATTTCTGCCTTTCTGCATTTGGTTGTGAAGTTTTTACACATGATCAACAAGGGTTCAAGTGGAACAGCAGCCCAAGGGCAAGGGCATAGCCACTATTTTTTGTACTATTTATGTACTTTTTAACCATTTAATATGTATTAAACTATGCTATCTTTTTTATTAGGGTCCTATCTTTTTATGTGTTACTGATGAAATTTTTGAGTGTTGTGCTTTTAACCTTATCATCCTCAAAAGCTCTGTGGTTTTTATTGAGTGATTTTGGTGGCATGGTGTTTCTTGGGAATGCTTATGTCACATTATAGCACAACTAACTGTATATGCTAATGCACACTTGAATCTTTTGCATCACACTTTCCCTGTGTTATGGGAAATAAATAGCTGTTCTATACCTAATACCCATATTTTATAACAAGAACTTTGGTGGGGTTTTTTTTTTTAAGGAGGGACTCAGTTAGCATGCCTCCTCCTCTATTTTGTGGAAGATTCTAGATATGAGCCATAGGTAACTTCTGTTTTTAGAGATTTCCCTGGACTTTTACTCCCTGATAGAGACAAAGCCAGGGAGAGATAAAGTCTCAGCTCTCTCTTTGGGGTTATTCCCATTCTCTTCAGGGATGGAGTCAAGCCCATGTGAGCCCTGAGTCCCTAATTCTGTCATGGGTTACTGGACCACCGGCACAATGGACTCCCATAATGGTGAGGAAATTTAGGGACAGCTCTATTCCCTTCTCCGAGGCTGTGGCCCCTGCACACATGAGGCTTGCAGGGACTCAGGAAGATCCCAGCTATACTCATCCAGGGTAGGCTCACTCACCTCCATGAAGATATCAGACACATCATGTAGCAGCAGCACCAGGGTACCAATGTGCACAAAGTTGGCAGAATAGGAGAAGAAGATCAAAGTGATAGTAACAAAATGGTGGATGATCTGCTCCTTGAAGTCCTGGAAAAGGAGGGCAGCTATGAGGCCAGGACCTTGCTTACCTCCCAGAGGATGTAGCTGGCTTTCCTTATGCTCAGGGCAAATTCTGACTTACAGTCTAGGTATACTTTTCCTCCCACTACTTCTGCCTTGATTATATGACAGTCCTCTTTGGAAAGGTTCAAGTATTTCAAGGGGAGGCAGAAGGAGGAGATGAAGGAAGAAGGTCAAATGTCTGACAGTGTGGTGGAGGGAGAACTGGTGATTGGGTTGGATATGGACCTAGTGGTAGCAGCTCCAGAAACAGCACCTTGGCTACTGAATTGAACAGAATGTAATTGGACCCTTAGCTTCTGGACCCCTTAGTCTTCCACAGAATCCATCAAGTTCAAGTGGATCAGGTCTGCCCTTACTGTTTCTGTGGGACAAGGGCCTGTGCTTACACCTGGGACTGACCTTAAGGGCCAGGGCCAAGTAAGGCACTTTTCTCATGGGGGCAGACACTAGAAGCCAGGTTCTTCACTCTACTCTTCTCCCTTGACTGGGAAGACAAGAGCTTTCCCAAAAACCTGGGCTCCCTCCAGACTCACCTTTCTCTTCACATCAAGGGTCAAAGTGAGCAGCAAGGAGAAGTAGCAACTGAGCTGCAGGAGGTACCACCAGTATATGGCAGGCTGCAGAGGCTGAGGGTCAAAGCAGTCACTTGGTCATGGGTATTGCTCATACAGAGACACAGAGTTCAACAGGGAAACAAATGTTTAGGAACTCCAGTACCTTGGAGCCAACCACCCTCCTTTACCCCATTCTCCAGCAATGCTAGATTGTGGTCTATGGTTAGAATACACTGGGACCAGTCCTCAATAAGTCAGGACATGCTGAGCAATCAAACAATGCACAAGCATCTATTAAACTTACCTGTTATGTGACAGACACTGGGCTAGGCACTGGAGATACAAAGGCAAAAATGAAACAGTTCCTGCCCTCAAGAAGCTTACATTCTATTAGGGGAAACAACATGTATGTGCACACATTCACACAATACATGCATTCACAACACAGACATACAGATACACATATGTGTGTAGGACACACACACACACACACACACACACACACACATATATACAATCAAAATAGATACAAGGCAATTTTGGGGGAAAGACACTAGCAGCTGAGTTAATCAAGGAAAGCTTCACAAAGAATGTGACATTTGGACTGAGTCTTGAAGGATTATAGTAATTCCAAGATGTGGAGGTGAGGAGGGAGTGCATTCCAAGCATGGGGGACACACATTGAAATGAGAGAGGAAGAATCATGTATGAAAAGAGTAAGAAGTCCAGTTTGGCTGGATCACAGTACACATGAAGAGGAGGAGTATACAATAAGGCTGGAAAGATAAGTAGGGGCAAGGTTGTTGGATTTAAACACCAAACAAAGTAGTTCATCTTTGACATTTGAAGTATAAGGGAACCAATGGAGTTTATTGAATTAGGATGTGATGCAGTCAGACAAATCTCTCTGCCAGCTGTATGTAGAATGGATAGGACTTAATAGTATTTTATTTTTTTCCAATTAAATGTAAAAATAGTTTTTAACATTCCTTTTTGTAAGATTTTGAGTTCCAAATTTTTCTCCCTCCCTCCCTCCCTTCTCTTTCTCCTTCCCAAGACAGCAAGCAATCTAATATAAGTTGTACATGTACAATAATGTTAAATATATTTCCACATTAGTCATGTTGTGAAAGAAGAATCAGAACAAAAGGGAAAAACCATGAGAAAGAAAAAACAAAAAAAAAGTGAAAATAGTATGCTTTGATCTGCATCCAGATAGTATTTGCTTTCCTAATTTGCTAATGGCATCACCCTTTTAATCTAAAGCATATACCCATTTTGACCTTGTCTTAGTATAGGATGTGAGATGTTTGTCTATTCCTAGTTTCTGCCATACTGTTTTCCAGTTTTCCCAGCAATTTTTGTCATAGATTGAGTTCTTATTCCAAAAGCTGAAGTGTTTGGATTTATCAAAGAGTAGATTACCATAGTCATTGATTACTGTGTCTTGTGTACCTAACCTATTCTACTGATCTACCACTCTATTTCTTAGCGAGTACCAGATAGTTTTGATGATAGCCACTTTATAAAATAGTTTTAGATCGGGTATGGCTAGGCTACCTTCCTTTACATTTTTTTCACTAATTTCCTTGATATTTTTGACCTTTTGTTCTTCCAGATGAATTTTATTATTATTTTTTTTCTAGCTCTATAAAGTAATTTTTTGGTAGTTTGATTGATATGGCACTGAATAAGTAAATTAGTTTAGGTAGAATTGTCATTTTTGTTACATTAGCTTGGCCTATCCATGAGCAATTGATATTTTCCCAGTTGTTTAGATCTGACTTTATTTTGTGTGAAAAGTGTTTTGTAATTGTGTTCATATAGTTCCTGGCATATCTTGGCAGATAGACTCCCAAATATTTTACATTGTCTACAGTTATTTTAAATAGAATTTCTCTTTCTATCTCTTTCTCTGTTTTGGCTTTTCCTGGTTTAGGTATCAGCACCATATTTGTGCCAGAAAAGGAATTTGGTAGAACTCCTTCTGCATCTATTTTTCCAAATAGTTTATATAGCATTGGAATTAATTGTTCTTTAAATATTTGGGAGAATTCACTTGTAAATCCATCTGTTCCAGGAGATTTTTTTTCTTAGGGAGTTCATTGATGATTTGTTCAATTTCTTTTTCTAAAATGGGGTTATTTAAATATTTTATTTCCTTGCCTGTTAATCTGGGCAATTTATATTTTGGTAAATACTAATTTATTTCACTTAGATTGTCAGATTTATTGTCATGTAGTTGGGCAAAATAGCTCTAATTATTGCTTTAGTTTCCTCTTCATTGGTGGTGAATTCAACCTTTTAATTTTTGATACTGTTAATTTGGTTTTCCTCTCTCTTTTTTAAAATCAATTTACCAAAGGTTTATCTATTTTATTGTTTTTTTTCCATAAAACCAGCTCTTAGTTTTATTTATTTATGTAATTCAATGGTTTTCTTCATTTTAATTTTATGAATCTATCCTTTGATTTTCAGAATTCTTAATTTCATATTTCATTGGAGATTTTTAATTTGTTCTTTTTCTAGCTTTTTTAGTTGCATGGCCACTTAATTTCTTTCTCTATTTTATTCATGTAAACATTTAGAGATATACAATTTCTTCCTAAGAATTACTGTTTTGGCTGCATCCCATAAGTTTTAGTATGGTGTCTCATTATTGTTGTTCTCTTTAATGAAATTATTGATTGTTTCTATGATTTGTTGCTTGACCCACTCATTCTTTAGGAGTGGATTATTTGGTTTTCAAATAATTTTTAGTCTATGTTTCCATGGCCCTTTATTGAATGTAATTTTTATTGCATCATGATCTAAAAAGGATGCATTTAATATTTCTGACCTTTTGCATTTGATTGTTAGGTTTTTATGCCCTAAAACATTGTAGTTTTTGTGTAGGTGCCATGTACCTTTCAGAAAAAGGCATATTCCTTTCTATTCCCATTCAATTTTCTCCAGGGATCTATCATATTTAACTTTTCTAAAATTCTACTCACCTCTTTAACTTCTTTCTTGTTTATTTTGTGGTAAGAACTTTGGAATTGGTTGTGTGACATGGGAGACAGTGGCATAGGACCACCCAGAATGGCATGCCCTCATCAGAGAAGGTGCTGTGCTCTATGAGCAAAGCAGAATTAAAGTAGCTCAAAAGAAATGCAAGACACACAAATTTAGAGAATCCACCCCAAATGTTTACATGGACTATTTGTCCCTGACCTGTGATAGAGCATTATGAGCTTGTATTGGTCTGATCAGCAACAGTCAGACACACTGTAACTTTACTCTAACATAGTGATACCATTTTGGTCCTCTTCGAGAACAAAGAATAACAATCAACAAACCAGATTTATTTAGTTCTGAGAGCGGGAGGTTGAGGCACCTCACTAGTATAGTTTTGATGTCTATTTCTTCCTGTAACTCATTTAATTTCTCCTCAAAGAATCTGAATGCTGTACTACTTGGTGCATATATGTTTAGAGTTGATTTTACTTCATTGTCTATGGTACATTTTAGTAAGATGTAGTTTCCTTCCTTGAATCTTTTAATTAAATTTATTTTTGCTTTTGCTTTGTCTGAGATCAGAATTGGCACCCCTGCTTTTTTTTACTTCAGCTGAAGCATAATATACTGTGCTCCAGCCTTTTACCTTTACTCTGTGTGTGTCTCTTTGAATCAAATGTGTTTCTTGTAAATAACATGTTGTAGGATTCTGTTTTTTAATCCATTCTGCATTCCACTTCTGTTTTATGAGAGAGTTCATTCTAATTACATTCACAGTTATGGTAACTGTGTATTTCCCTTCATTCTATTTTCCCCCATTTATACTTTTCTTTCTCCTTTCACCCTGTCCCTCCTGACCAGTGTTGTGCTGCTGACCAACACCTCCCTCAGTCTGCCTGCCCTTCTATCAGCCCCACCTTTCCTTTCCCCTTTTTCCTCCTATTCTGCCCTCCCTTTTATCAGCCTCCCTCTCCCCTTTTCTTTCCTCTTTCCCCTCCTATTTCCCTATGTGGTAAGACAAATTTCTACACCCAACTGAGTGTGTACGTTATTCCCTTTTGGAGTCAAATATAACAAGAGTAACATTGAAACAATGCTCACCCTCTCTCTTCTTTCCTCCACTATAATAGGTCTTTTGTGCCTCTTCATGTGATGTGATTTACCCATTCGGCCTCCCCCTTTCCTCTTCTCCCATTACAATCCTTTTTTTACCTTTAAATTTTTTTTAATATCATCATATCAAAGTCAACTTAGACCCACACTCTCCGCCTATGTATATTCCTCCTAACTGCCCTAATAGAGATACAGTTCTCTAGAGTTACAAGTATAGTCTTCCCATGTAGGGATGTAAGTAGTTTAATCTCATTGAATAACATGTTTTTTTTTTCTTTCCTGTTTACCTTTTTATACTTCTCTTGTGTCTTGTTTTTGAAGATCAAATTTTCTGTTCAGCTGTGATCTTTTCATCAGGAAAGTTTGAGAGTCCCCTATTTCATTGAATTTCCATTTTTTCTCCTGAATGATTATGCTCAATTTTTTCTGGGTGGTTGATTCTTGGTTGTAATCCAAGCTCCTTTGCCTTCCATAGTATCGTTTTCCAAGTCCTCTGATCCTTTTATGTAGAAGCTGCTAAGTCCTGTGTAATCCTGACTATGGCTCCTTAATATTTGAATTATTTCTTTCTGGCTGCTTGCAGTATTTTCGCCTTCACCTGATAGTTCTGGAATTTGGCTACAATATTCCTTGGAGTTTTCATTTTGAGATGAATTTTTTTCAGGAAGTGATTTCTTTTTTCCCCCCCCTGAGGCAATTGGGGTTAAGTGACTTGCCTAGGGTCACACAGCTAGTAACTGTCAAGTGCCTAGTCTGAGACTGGATTTGAACTCAGTTCCTCCTGACTCCAGGGCCAGTGCTGTATCCACTGCACCACCTGGCTGTCCCAGGAGGTGATTTCAATGACTATTTTACCCTCTGATTCTAGGATATCAGGAGAGTTTTCCTTGATAATTTCTTGAAAGATGCTCTCTGGGCTCTTTTTTTTTTCATCATGGCTTTCAGGTAGTTCAATAATTCTT